TCTTACAATAATATTGTTCTGAAGTGTTTTATTTAAATGTTAATATACTTTGTAACATCTTGAATTGTTAGTTCGTAAAGTAAGGTTATATATGCAAAATGTTCTAGGATTATTATTTTCAGTAGTAGAATTGATTCTGGAAAATTCTTATGCTTAGCTGATTATTATAAATACTTGGCAGCAATAATACTATGAAGATGTATTTTATAAGTCCTATTTATAAGCCATTTTATATGACCTGTTCTTTCATTTAGTTCCAAATATAAAAACAAAAAAGCAAAGGATGGCTGCAGAATCAGTTTTGACTCTTAATTACCTTCTATGACAGAATAATCATATTTACAATAATATAAATAATCTTCCCAAAGCAGGATACCACATCTTTCTCCCTCAGAGAGACTGGTGATTTTGAACTGCAGACCTTTTTATTAACTTTTGAGGACTTAAACACTGTTATCAGTGTGCCAGTCTCAACTGTAACCAGCTGCTATAGAGCTGCTTCCAACTCAGATAATTCCCCACTGTCAGACTTCCGAGGCTGAACATCTTTCCTTAGGAGAATAGGCTGACCATCAGGGCTCCTTTGTCCCAAATATAGAGGCTGTTTCCCCCAATTGATTCATTTACTCTTTTTTAATTGTCTTCCTGGGCATTGAGGAAATGAATTAATTAAGATATAATCTCTAGTCATAAGAAATTCATCGTCTAATGAAGAAGGAGATAAAATTTGTAAGTAGGATTTTAGGAGCCTGTAGAAGTTAGTTAAAGAATTGAATCTGAGAGAGAAGGATAATAGTTAAATTGTGGCATGCAATTTATATTGTGACAGCCTATAAGTAAAGAAAGGACCAGAAAAGGGGGGTTCATCGTGAATATTACAAAGATATGTTTTAAAGTAGTATTTTCAAATAATGTAATAAACCCTCTCAATTTTTTAAGTGAGAAGCATTTGTTACGTGGCTGAATAAAATAAGTGACTTTCTGAAACATTTTTATTCTTTGAAAATAGCATTAGATTTGTGCCTTGTGACAAAATGAATTTGGAGATATCAAATTGACCGACCCAGAATTGCTTATAATGGAGACTCTTACTTGTTAATTAGGAACTCACTAAAAATGTCCTGCATGTTGAAAACTTAACTTTTTTTAAAAAAAGAGTGTTTAGGAGTTACTGAGCATTTATGTGATAGGCACTGAGATAAGCACTTTCTGTGCATTTTATTCTTTAAAAAAACCTTACCTATCAACTTTGTCATCCTCCATATGCAGATTATGGAACTGACAGTGAAGTAACTTATGGAAGATCACCAAGGCTTTTTGTACTTGGCTCAACAGAGTTCTTAATTCCTATCTAAATATTACCTTTAGCACCACTGTGATTTTATCTACCACAACCTTTGTAAATTTAAGGATTATATTTGAAATACTCATGGAAAATTAAGTTTCAGTAGTGAGAGCAGTTTAGCATATGAATTTTTTCAATTTTCTTTATATTTGGAATTTTAAATTATGTGTTGTGAAGAGAATACTGAGTCAAGAAATAATGAAAAATACAGTATTTGGAGGAAGTTTTGATTTAAAAACATTAAAATTGAATTTTCATGACACATTAGGTTCCCTTTAACAATCTTTATACAGAGTGTTCTGTACCAGTGGTTACAATTTTCACAATGTATCAGCATCTCATTTCCATTCTGTTTTGCTTTCTTTGATCTAGTTTTCCATTTTGTCCTTGCTTGTGTTCCTTTGCTTTTAGTAAAATGTAATTAGTCTCATATTGTTGAAGGGAGTTGCTTAGTTATTCATAAATGATACTTGTTTTATAAACCAGTCTTTTTTGGCTATAAGACAAATTGTAGATATAGCTTCAATTTAAGTTCAAAGGGTATAAAAAAGATGACTAATTGTGATAGTGCATATAATTGACTTAAATTTAATACTCATGGGGTAATAGTTTTAAGAGGGGTAGATAAAGTTTTCATAGAGGCGTAGCTATAGGTAGGATGAAACGAGGTTTAAAGTGTATCAACTGCAGAATATGTTTGGAAAATATAAGGATGCTTTTTTCTCTCTGATGGGATGAGGAGTTTGGTGTTGTTTTTAGATAGAAAGGATCTTTGATAAACTTTTTTTTTTTTTTTAATGTAAGCTTTTAATTCATGGAAGCTTTTTGCTGTTCTGCTTTGGTGCTGCAGGAAAAAGCCTTCTTACCTGGATTTTGAGTGTCAGAAGATGTTTTTACCTAGATGTTAGCTTTCATTTTTTAAAAAGTCATAATTTATTTTTTCATGTCGTTTATTTTTCATTTGAAGTATTCCTTAAGCCAGTGTTTCTCTTAAATGAAAAAAATTAACTCCAGGAAAAAGTAACATGGGACCTAGTGCTGCAATTTATAAGTTCTGTAACTCAGAACGTGGCTTTTTTTTTTTTAATAAGTGCTTATGTTATAACACGTATCCTTGGAAATTCTACACATACATATGTTGTTGTTGAGTTGGAACCAACCCTCTGGTGGGTTTTCAAAGATAGTTAATGTCATGGGAGGAGATTGCCTATCCTTCTCCCACAGAGCACCTGGTGGCCTCAAACCTCGTGCTTTTTCAGGATAGCAGTGCAGCTCCTTAACACTAGACCACCAGAACTACACACACACACACACACACA